TTGTTACGAAACGTTAACAGAATGTTTTACATTTAAAGATAATTGAATTCATCAAAATAATTCATAAATACATATAATATTGCGCTAATGATAACATTTTGGGATGCAGTTATGTGTAGTGGTCATTATAATTTTTACACAACTAGTTGTCACCCACGACTCCGTCCGCGCGGAATAAAAAATTGACTTAATTGTTAGTTTTCGAATAATGTTCTACACATCTATATGTCGAATTTCGGAGAGGCTGAAGATAACTTCTAACATCCATTCATTCATGTAAACATTTATAAGATTAGTAAGACAACACACTTAGCTTATTTACTATACTCTGTGTATATTAAAGGTGATTTTGTTTCCTTTGCGCCTTATATTTTCTTTGGGCTCTTCGCCAAAATATCAGTACAATTTTAATTCAGATCATAAGAGTAACATTGCCTTCGGCAAATTCCAAACTTATAACATACTGTATAAAATTTTAGCTGTACTATCAGAAACACGTTGCGAATAAAATGTAAACATTCACGATGTGATAATTCGATAAACTTTCGAGAAATGTCATGTTTGCCTTGTTTAAATCGCATGCTGTCGTAAGTTTATAATAAGACTAGCTGTCGCTCCAGATAAAAACTTAATCTTTAACCTATGCGTTCTACCAGACTACGTTTTACATTTAAACCTAATTGTAGCGAGATCCATGCAGCCGTTATGTACATAATTTCTAACAAATATCCATACATTTAAACATTAGCAATTATAATAGTAGTACGATTACGTACTGTGTTCAGTTAGATTAAACACTGACGATATTAACAATCTTACGGTATTACCTTAAAGAAAACTTTTTATCTCCACAATAAGTATAAACACATGAAAGGGAAAGTAAAATATTTTTATGTATTATTCCTTGTAAGATTTAACATTTTTTGTTTTCAAAGAATTCATTTCTAAATACCTCGTTTTTAAAGCACGCACAATCTAAATGACATTCATTCATTGCGACGGCCCTACGAACCCTTAAGGTGCTTGTCCCCTACACTTCCCTACCACTTCTTACGGCACTTTACCCCTTCCTTACTGCGTAGATATCTCTTGGTGCACTCTTTGCGATTATTTCATCCTTTCATCATTTTAATACTAATATATTACATCTACGTAGACAAAGTGTAAGTGTGTAAAAACACTTTATTACATCAGAGAAAAAGCAGTGACTAAAGAAAGTTTATACGTTATACGTTATATCGGATTATGTTTTTCTTTCTCTTTGGTTAACAAGAAATTGCATCTATCTCTCCTCGTTTAAATACACTATAGCTCTTGCCCCCGGCTCCGTTTGTGCAGAATAAAAATATTTATTTATAATAGTAGCCCACGTGTTCTACCAGATATGTTCTACATCTATGCCGAATTTCAGCGAGATCCATGCAGCTGATCTAGAGATTTGTCATGACAAACATTCGCATTTATAATATTAGTAAGATTATTCCAAAAAAATATCTTACACTTTGTTTCGTTAAATACGCGTTTTAACCCTTTGACAGCCGGTGTTACATGAACATGGCTATAAACGATGTTTTTTACCTACCTTTACTATCTTTCTACCTAATATTCTATCTTAATGTTATCGAGGAGTAATACAAACTACAATACTTTTGGCTAATACATAAAACGATTTAATTTTAAGAATAGCAAAATTTTATTTAAGCTTATTTAAAATGTAAATGCAAAGTACCATTGAATTCATTTCTGTTATTTATGATTTCTATAAGCGTGAATTTTTATACGATCACAGTAGCGATTGCTTTCTGTTATAAAAAATAAAACGTGTTTAAAACATGGGTAACAAACAAGGTAATAATAAAGTCTCATATATCGACTGTTCAATACTTTGACTATAGAGAAATGGACTAAGCAAAAAAAGCAGTACTCAACAATATCTGCTTTTAAGGGAAGTGTAAAATGACAATCACAAATATATGCTGAAACATAAAATTTAAGTCTTTGTGACCACTATTGACTCGATAATTAACACACACAAAGCTCACTATTAAAATTTATTATCCGTTTTATTCGACAGTTCGGAATGTGAGCTTGAAAGATCCTGTACATTATCAATCAAAGGTACAATAAAAACCTAACTGGTAGGTACACGTAACATTAACAAGAGCAATCGGATTCGTCTTAGCAACAATAAACAGTAAAAGTAATCACCTATTGTTCCACAACCGCTTCAGGCATATCAGACATATTGTTGTGGTACAAGGAATTAGTACTACTAGATGTGGCAATCAAAATATGCTATTATAATAACTCTAAACTTTAATTATTAATGTAATTAGTTATTTACTAATTAATTTACAAATAAATTTAAGACTATTCATTAGATTCTTTGTGAGTTTATTGTTAAAAATTAAACACATCTACGCTACTATACTTTGATATAGATATGATTGACATTGACAGTTTAGTATTCGAGTGACTTTAATTTGAAAATGTTGCAACAAACAAAATTGAAAACAGCAGGAAAACGCATTGAAAATACACGTACATCAAAGAATACTATCTTTATTTTATTATGAGTTATGTATATTCATAAGATCGTTTAAGAAGAGGAGATATCCTCCTCTGTTGATTACAAGTAGGCAACGCATCTGCAATTGCAGCTGTCAATGGACAGCGGTCGCCACACTCTTTCGACTTATTCACGTGGTCGCTTGTTCGTTTGTCACTATGTGAAGCATGCATGTTGAATAATTTGCTTTCGTTATTTCGACGAACCGATTCTAGTATCTTTATAGCAAATCATAAAAAGATAACGCGTATAGCGTTCAGAAAAACGATAGTAAATTTATAACTTTACAGACTTTCACCGATGTACTTTTTTACTTTCGAAAAAATCTGCAAAATAAAAAAAATTAAATTAGTATTTGTCGTTATCGGCGTTGGCAGAGTCCCAACAGAGACTATCGTATGTTAGAAACTTTACTGATATTCTCGTAATAAAGTCCACTTAAGAATATTTTGAATGTATGAATTAAAGTGGAAGTAGTTTATCTATCATATTGCTAATAAGAAAGCTTTTAAATTATTTAACTGTTCACTATGAAGTTTAGAATATGTTAAATTGTTTTAAATAATACACACATATAAAATAATAATAAAATAATTAAGAAGGCGTTATTTAACGTGAAGGAGTTAAATTATTTTAATAATGGAATCTTAACATACAAATAAAAACTAATAATCATAAATTGTCATAAAGTAACAAACACTCAAGCGGCCAACTGAATCCGACGAAATAGTTAAGCGACCGCTGCACGTAGATATATGCAATTGCAGACGCGTTACCAACCTTTAATCGACGAAGGAGTGGACGCATAGAAAGAGGACATATCCCGTACCAACCTTTTTTTATAAGAAAAGAGTGGGAATGGAAAGAGGACTAAAACTAAGGCACCGGAAAAAACAAATGAATGTTGCGTGTGCAAGGAGGTTTTATTTAATGTATTTTAAATATTAATATAATATAAAGAGGTCTAAACGTATTCTAAACTCTTTTTACTTGAGATTGGTGGCGTATACAATTCAATTTAAACAGGTTAACAGTAACTTAACATTCGGGGAGGCTACAGGGTAACCTACACGCGATTGTGATTCGTGTTCGAAAGGTGTGGCTAAAAAGTTCTCTCGCATTTTAACACGAACAACAAACACTGGCAGTGTTCATGTGTAGATAAAAAAAAAACATAATAGCGCTTTGTTCTAACACAATATTATCAATTTAGCCCGCAGCGGAGTAACTGGTGTATCAATTTTAGACTGGAAAATGCATGTATATAATAGAAATAAGTATTTTCTCAATGTTAGATTTTAATTTAGATTATATTTTAAAATATTTCATATACATTTTTTATTTTATAATATTTTTAAAAAATAAAAATTTGATTAATAGGAACATATAGACGTCACTTTTATAAAGCCACTAGACAATTGAAATAAGGCGTTGATTGTTGAAGGAATTCATTAAAAAGACCTATTTCTAAATTTAACCCTTAATTCGATGGTGTCCAGTGTGTTGAACAACTAATTAAAAAAAAACTACTGAACTAGTTTAGAGAAAATTACGAATGACTTTACTAAAAAAAGAAACAGTTTTTTTGGTACAAAAGTTTCGTCGAATTAATGGTTAAGACTGTAACACAAGTAATCGAATGAATATCGGATGCGATAATAAATCTAAATTGGTACAAATTTATATAAAGTGTGATAATTTTTAACAAAGAAAAGCTTAAAGAGAAAACAAACCTATTCTAACTAAAGCACTCATATGCGAAATGATCTTCAACGGCCTCTAACAAAACGACTAGTATTTTTTGCAGTTACCACAAATATTTTAACTCCATTTGTTACAGGATTATAGACCTTATTTCGTATGAAATAAGAGCTACATCGATTTAAGAAAATGCACATAAATGTTTGCAATCAAGAAATAGGCTAGGTGGCGTATGAAACGACTCAGATGCGATTTTTTCCAGTGCAATTCGATTGGGATTGCATCGAGTAATCGAATACACCGAGCGATTCAGCATCGATTGGTTTTCAACTGTTGGGACTTAATTTCGACTGTCATTAATAAGGATGTTTGAACTTCGAAAGCTCTTCGAAGCGATTGTAAGCCTTGTTTCAAATCGGTTTTATCGTAGATATTGAATTATTATGCCAGAAACAATTAAATTCAATTACTTTATTTCATTTTTTATTAAATATGTGAGATTTTACAGTGCAAAAATCGTAGATAATTTTCAGCATGATACGCACAAGAGTGTTTGTTATCTGTGGATGATAACTGCAACCTAAACCTTTGCAAAAAGTGGCAGAAAAGATGAAAGTGTGTTTAGTACAATGGCTGCTCTTTGCCTAGTCCGTTTCTCTATAGTCAAAGACTTATATTACTTATATACATTCGCTGGCAACATTATTTTCATTGTCAGTTTGTCATTGTTTTACAATATGACAGCGTCAAATGTATTAACAATAGTAAAAGGCAATTTTTAGAAAAGATTTATGTTTTTTATTTAATTCTCCATCAAAATTACAGTGAAAAAAATCAGCATAAATAAACAAGCAATGAAAGAGAAAATTTTAAAAGCTGAAACTGACAGTTATGATTACGAAAGTGATAAGGAAATAATTCAATCATACGAATTAGTGGGATCCAAAGCAACAACTACATATGGAGATCTATACTTTATCGGCACAGTATGGGTGACCGCAATGAAGTCAGCTCTGCTTGGCGCAAGGTCACTAATACCAGTGGTAGAAGCTGCAAGTCCACCTCCACCCACACCTACAAAGCCTCCACCGATGAAGTATAAAGAACTGTCAATGTATAAAAGCCCACATAATGAATATAAAGAACATTTAGAAGAAAAAGAAAAATGTCCCGAACGTAATGTCAAAATAATGCGACGTTTTCTATTGCCCTATGTATCAATCATCAGGAAAGGAGTGCAAGCGAACACGTGTAAATTAGTACTTGGCGTTAGGGACGGTATGTGTAATCTTAAAAAATCTATAACTGAATCTAAGAAACAATTTACAGCTACTATGAGAGATAATGAAAATCTGACTATCAGAAGAGTTGTGGTTGTGGCAGGAACTGGTATTGGATTTTTATTAGGAGGTGGCAGAGGTATACCACGACGTATATTCATGACAGGTGCAGGAGCAGCTACGGCTGGTGCTTTGTGCTTCCCTAAAGAAACAGATGAAGCGTTTAGAACTTTTACATACTACAGTGGTAAAACTATATTGGGTATAGCAAATTTGGTCTGCGGCCGGGATTTTGGTTGGAGAGAAAGATTGCCGTGTAAAGATGATCTGCCAGTTAGTACCGGTAAAATTGTTGGACAATGCCCTCCAAAAAAGAACTAATACATGCTGTATAACGTTGAACTTGCATTTCCCATAAATAAGATATGTACTTTTCGATTGTCTGTTTAAACACTTTTTCGAAATAACCAATAATAAACATGAATAAACCATAACTTTGTATCATTCTTGCGATATTATTAATTTGAAGTTGGTTGTGAATCAAATCAAGATAAGTAAGTAAGGACGGTGTCAACATGCGTGTATCATCAATTACCATAGTCAATTTGGAATCAGGTTTGGGCAAGATAGAGCAACGAACTATTCATTTATTGTTATCAGAACAAGGTTTCTCTAGGGAAGGTAGTCTGTGGTTCAAAAATAAAGCAAAACAAATATTTGTACTCATTAATAATGAAGGTAGCAATTCACCTATTAAAGAGATACATCCAGCTGACCTGATTAAAATTAATATTGGCTATCCAATGATACAAGTGACTACCCAAAACAAATAAAAAATAGACGTAAATACAAAAAAGAGATATACATTCTGTCATAGAGGGTAAAAGACATAATAGAGAAGTTTCTAGGCGACTGTTTGTGTTTTAACGTTTAAAGTAAAAATTTCATTAATAGTAGCTGTCGCCCGTGACTCTGTCCGCTCGGAACTAAAAAAAAAATGGTAATCTATCTGTTTTTACAGATTACGTTCTACATGTATGCCAAATTTTATTGATATCCACGCAGTAGTTCTGAAGATACCTTCTAACAAACATCTAACCAAACATTCGTATTTATAATATTAGTAAGATTGTCTTACGCTTTCAGTTTATGATATACACCTATACCGAATCGTAACGCCCTCTAGCATAATGCCCAGTTTAAATTTGTGGACTTACTGAGCATTGGTCCGTGAATCTTTGTTGGAGCTATACGGTTATGGAGGCAATCGGCCATTGTTCTTTATTTATTTTGATCAAGTCTTAGTATTGTTTCCGTTAGTCTCGATAGTTAAGGTTTTTGGACCAGAACGTTTCTTCGCAAGTTGTGTAAGAACAGTGCATTTTCAATTGCTCAATAACATCGAGTTAAGTAATTCGATAGTGTGACAATCAGCATCGTCATCGATAAACTTTATATTGACATTTGTTCAGCTCTTTTTTAGGGAGTAAAGTACACCAAAAATCTCATACTAATTATGACATAATTGCCGATGAGGATAAGAAGGCGATTGTCACAAATCACAAATATTCGTGCAGTCTGAAGTTACGGACTGAAGTCAATCTTTAGCTAAAGAATACTGGCCATTATTTAGATGACTTAGATTCCTGTCTGTTATAACGACTAACCGTTCCTATTTTAGCTGTTTCTTATCAGTAAACGTATTAGCATATGTATCTATATTTAAATTGGACTAATTAATTTAATTTATGTGTTTCCGTTATTTTATTTGTTCGAGTGAATTATATCTAACTGCCAAGGGTTAATGGTAGTAGTAGATAACTAGAATATTGTTTGGATCGAATTTTAAGAAAAAAAAAAATAAAAACTCAGATCTTTTCATTTTGATTTTACTAATATTATAATATTAACGCGAATGTTTAGATAGATGGATGGATGTTTGTTAGAAGGTATCTCCGGAACGGATCAACGGATCTTATTAAAAGGCACAACTATAGAGTAACACATCACACATAGTCTGGAAGAACACATCAAGTTTTTTTTAATTCGGAGTCGCGGGCGACAGCTAGTAATAACCTATGTATGATTGTGTAATCTTCCTATGTATTATATTATGTATTCAAATGATATGATTGCATTAAAATGAAATACCGTTTGACCTCATTTCTGTTGTCATGTGTAACGTATCATTTGCTGTCGACAATTGATGGTCAATTATTGTCAATTTTGTTTGATATTGTTATGGTTATTTTCCAACTGATAGTTATGTGATTGATTGAATTATGATAAAAGTATGCCGATCCGAAGGAAGTATTTGTGTTCTTTCAGACTGTGTTATACATCTGTGCCAAATTTCATCGTTCTTCGTAGAACCGTTCTGGAGAGACCTACTGACAAACATCCATCTATCTATCCATCCATTTAAACTTTCGCATTTTTAATATTAGTAACATATGACGATTTAACTTCAAGAAGAACGGTTTCTTTAAGGAGTTTTGTTAACTTGTTTTCCTTCTTTTTTATAACTAATTTAACATACTCTTTAACTTGTTCTTTGATTATAATCTGCCGGAATTCATACTAATGTAACGTATGTTTCATATTTCATTTTTTTTATATCAAGACTCTGTCATTTTGCGATCTCCGACAATGTCCACCACAAATTCTTTATCCTCCTTTCGACACTTGTGTTTATCTAAAATCTATGTAATGCCCATAACGTCGTTGGCTCATAAAAACAACCCAAAACTCCCTCTTAGATAACTAACGTCCATTTTCGTTGTACTGGTGGTAATAAAAAAACGGTGTTATCACCCAGATTAAGACGTATGATAGTGCTGTGACGTCACACTTTTCAACGAAAATGAGCAAAATCCAGCTATATTCCTCTAACAATAAAGCCTCAAAGGCAACAATCAGCTATATTTCATTTTTTTTTCACCATGGAAACCTTCTGTTTTATTACCGGCCAGCTTTATATTGTTGTCTTGCGAGTTCCTATTTCTAATTTACAATATTATTTTGCGTCTAATTTGATTCAGAGCGAGTTAAATTTAACTTTACTGCCTAAGGAATAGATGCTTAGTTTATTTGACTTTCTTTAGGCGAATATCTTTGTCATTCTTAGTTGTTCACACTTAATACACTCTTTTTAATTTATTGGACTGTTCATGGCTTCTTGTAGCGTAGTCGGAGTGGGCTCTAAATCTTTTTATGCTTTTATTTCTATCAAAAATTAAAAGCAAATTTTGATATTTAAAGTCAACGTTTTCGTATTTTATTAGATTAGTGTATCATAATAAACTACACGTGGTTATTTACAACCGGTTCAGAATTATTTTCATTTTAAAATAAAAAAAAAACAAATAGCTTTAATATTTATTTTTCTATACTTAAAAACATATTTGCAACTTATGTTAAAGCCTTGAAAATATCTAATTCTATCTTTCCAGATATGATAGTCCTTAATTCCTAACTTTATGGTCCGTTTAGATATCCAAGCTATCCAATCTTCCTAGGTAATGCAAAACTCCTAGTAAAATTCAAAATTAAGTTCCAAGTGTAATCAAAATTTTATGATGGTTATAAAAATTCCCTTTAGTTTCTTCATACTGAAGGTATGTAAGGTTGATTGGACCAACCAATGCCTTTTACAATGTACATCATCTTTACGAACCTTCACAAATGACTTCCTACTGTAAATAACGTAGCCAACTATTCCAATGCAGTATTAGAAATGAAACTAGCGTCGGTGGCTCAAGTGTTAAGCCCTTGATTTGTAATCTGCAGGTCCTAGGTTCGAATCCGTGTACCAAAATGTTTTTCAATTTTCGATTTACATATGTTTATTAATCAACGTTCTTACGGTGAAGGAAAACACCGAGATGCACATATCTGCAAAGAAATTCAAAGATACATATGTGTAAAGTCAACAAACCCACATCACCTTCACTTAGGGTAGGCACCGAGCCTCTTAATGGGGACGTATAGTGAGCTGATGATGATGATAACTTAGAAATACAAGATTATTTCACATACGGTTAATTAAAGCGATGGTACAAGAACGAATTAATAGCTTTTGGGGCAAAGGAAATGGCTTTTCTTATAATCCATGAGACGGCTAATTTAACATAAAACTTTACAGCGTTTATCGCGCTTTCAAATGAATTTATGTACGCGTAGTGCCGCTTATTAGGGTTGCTTTTGAAAATTTTGGAAACTTATGAAACTGATGCAATCGGTGACTTTAATTTTGATTTAGAATGAAAAATTGTTACGTTTACGAATGTTTTTTAGTTATAAATAAACGTTGAGTTATTATTAACGAAAAATAAGCTCGAAAACACCAGGGATTCTTGGTTATATTGTTTTGTAGTTAAAATAGTACAATTTTTATTTGTAAATTGTTATTACCTCTTGAACAATGAACCAAACACTTCTTAGAAATCACTAATTATCGTATGACACTACGAATTTTATTTATCGCAAAAAGAAAAACAAATAAAATTTACTTATTTATATCTGAAATTGATTGATGAGTTTCTTACTGCGTCAAGACTACTTTTTTAATTGTTATTTAGATGGGGTTTCATGGGCACTATACGTATTTATATATATATAATCAGCTCACTATAAGTCCCCACTGAAGGACTCGGAGCCTACCCTAAGTTAAGGGTGACTAGACGATAGTCAACCACGCTGGCCCAGTGCGGGTTGGTTGACTTCACACATATCTTTTGAATTTCTTCTCAGATATGTGGAGGTTTCATCACAATGTTTTCCTTCACCGTAAGAACGTTCTTCGAACGAACGATCCTTTATCTATAATTAGTTTTTCAAATTCAAGAAATATTTCTCACCTAATTGCCTAATTTCTGACATGGAATAAGAAAAATAAAGGATACATTTAATTTGCTAATATTTCATTTATTATTTGTGATAGTTTATAACTCATTAATATTTAATTGGTTGGATGTTTTTTTTATCTCTATATTTAAATCTGTAGGAGCAAAAGTAATTTGACGTTCATGATGAAACAAAGGTCGAAAGATCAATAGCACTACAAGAGAACGAGGCTGTCAATGAAACGCGCTTACCGATGGCATAGTGCGAGCGACTTTTAATTTATTAACCAACGGACAGACAATTACTTGGAAGTGAAACTGTTTATATGTCGGCTTCTACTGTCGAAGCATTTATATACCTATCTCTTTCGTTTACTATGAAAAAATGGAGACAAGAATATCTGTCACGGTATTCGTATTTTAAATTTTACACAAGGCTTATAACGTAGAGCTAAAAGCTATTCGCTTGTCCGTTACTAGGAAATAAGCCGTAGTTCCGTGAATTTAAAGAACGATTAGATTTTAATTACTGTTCTTATAGCATGTTATAAAATAATAAACAATCTATCAAGTGATTGTATCTTAAAATTAAAATTGAATGATTATATCAGAACATTTCGATCGTATTAGAAAACAGATAA